AAAAAAAGTTGTATTTCTGTCACTAGGAATTCTTCCTGTTGGATCTGGCCATTCAGCAATTAAGCTACAATATTAAATGTATTTAAATTCTGATTCCAGATACAGCCACAGCAAAAATGGTTAAGATTTAAAGCTTACAGTTGGTACAAGCCAGAAAATAAATTCATTGTTGCAGCAGGAGATGCAAGTTAGGCAGAACTCAATGGGAACTTACATCAAAGGTTAATTTTGACCAAAGTCCTCACTGAGTACTAACATCTCTTGATACTTTCTGATACATCAGTCCAATATATTTGCTTTGGAAAAATCTGTTTTGATGCAGTAAAATCTGTGAGAGGGCAGATGGCATTAAGCAGACTTTAGAATACAAAAAGTGGGACCCATTTCAGATCCTACTGAAGGTTTCCTTCACAAAAGCTGTGAAATCCCTGTTACCCCACCTCAAATTACAGATGTAGCAATGTTACGTAATAAACAACAACAAAAAATTAATTAGTGTTGAAAGAGACATTGTTGGTATTAATGTTATTTTTTAAAATTATGGTTGTTTTAAAATTGTCTCTTTAAAACTTACACAGTATAAAAAAGGCCTTAAACCAGCCTCTGTATTGAAGCAGATAGCAGTTGTGCTATTGCATAAGCAAATATTGAAATCTGCACTTGTTGATTCAAAGATCAGACAGGTTTATTCAGCACAGCTAGCCATCTTCTCAAGAAGGCTTCGATGCAATGAGCATACAAATTTGACAGGCTATGTAAGGAAATTCTATATATTGCAAATTGATTTGCTGATTTATTTCAGTTTTTCCCTTCTAAAACACGAAATCAAAGGGAAAAATATGACAGTTCAGTATTTAAAATATGTAAATCACATATACTTCTTAAGTTAAGGTTTTTTGAATGATTTTAATTTGGTTATGCTTTACACATAAAATATTTTGTATACATTCTTTACTGATAAATGGGTGAGTTGTCCTTTACACATGGCCTAACACGTAGATCTATCAAAATTGATTCAATGACTCTTATGACTCTCTTCCCCACTGGGAAAGTTCTTGGTTATTATGATTCTCTTTGTAGCTAAGAAAAGCTCTTCTGTTTATATCTTTTGGTGAGCTAACTGGAGGAAATCGCTGGTGACAACACACAGAGTTCCATCTGCATTCTTCCTCATATACCTCATAAAGACTATCCAGCTGTATGTCACTTTCCCCTCACAACAACCTCACTGCTAACCTGAAGTGAACCTCAAGTCTGAATACATTCAATAACTGCTGCAGCATTTGCTCATTCATCAAATACTGTAATAGAACATACTTCCCTGAAATTCATGAATAAATACTTTTTCATGTTCATTGCTAACGCAATGATCATCTGAACTTTGTAACTGAATCTCAGAATCCCAAAAGGGTTTGCATTGGCAGGGACCTCTGAGTCCATCTGGTTTAAGCTCTGCTCAAGCAGGGTGCCCATGTCCATGTCCAGGTGGCTTCTGAAGGTCTCCAAAAAGTACAACCTGTGCTTGGTCACCTGCACAGTGCAAAAGTGTTTCCCAACATTTGGAGGGAACCTCCTGTATTCCCATTTGCCTCTTTTCCTATCCCCGGGTACCACTGAAAAGAACATTCTGTCTGCACCCTCCCTTTAGGTATTTACAGTCACTGATGAGATCCTGGGTCTCCTCCATGCTAAGCAGTCCCGGCTCTCTCTGCCTTTTCTTGTAGGAGAGATTCTCCAGTCTCTTCATCATCTTAATGGACCTACATTGGATTCTCTTCAGTATGTCCATGTCTATGTATTACTGGGGAGCCCAGAACTGGACACAGCACATCAGGTCTGGCCTTACCAGTGCTGAGCAGAGGTGAAGGATCACCTTCTCTGACATGCTAGCAATGCTTTGCCTAATGCGGTCCATAATGCTACTAGCTTTCTTTGTGACAAGGGCACAATGCTGGCTCATGTTTAGCTTGGTGTCCGCCAGGCCATTTTTCACAGAGCTATTTTTTAGCTGGGTGGTCCACAGCAGGTACTGGTGCCTGACACTGTTCCTCCCCAGATGTTTCTGGTGTTTCTCCCAAGGTAACATTTATATTGTTCTTTATTTTTATCATGAAGAAGGAGAAAATAGCTTGCAAGTTCTGAAATATCACATTGGTTTTTTTAACGAAAAGGTCTGAAAGGAATAAAAAGTTTGTGTCTTGAGGTATAAGCATACCTCTAATAGCAGCTGGGAGGAGACTTTCCTTGGAGCTAACTATCCCACAACTTCCTGTTACCTTTTGCACCTTTCCTGAAGCAATCTGGCTCTCCTGCTGTCAGCACAAGCATCTTAAAGTGCTGGTCAAGTGGCTGGAGCTTAGCTGGGCATTCATCCACTCCTCTAGGGTTAACTGAAACAGGCCTGCCTTTTCCAAGAAGAAATTTGCCCATATGAGATATCAGGTTTTAGGAATGCATGGATTACATAGGCTACCAAATAGAAGATGACAGACCTGGCCAATTAATGGAATTAAAAAGTCATCTTTTTCTGACTGCCATTTTGCAGATTTCCTTGTATGTTACTTTGATACTCTGCCTTTGGATGCCTTCCTCCCTCTCCTCTAAGTAGAGGACATTATTCTCAGCTGTCTTAGAACCATCACATCTAGCTGGGTGCACAAACACAGGAAACAAGCTGATATGTGTTTGGATGCCTTCAGACCCAGATCTAATTTTCAAACCATGTTTGCATTCTCTCAGGTTGAAAGTTAAACTAATGAGAATAGTTAGCCATATATGAAATTACATTTTTTTAGCCAGTGTCAGTTCTTCAAGCACAAGAGAAGCTACTCTAATCAGACTGATCATCTTCTCTGTAGTTCTGCTGTTGCTGTTTTTCAAGGCTTAATTGCCTTGTAAAGTTGTGTATGTGCAATCATATTGCTAATATAAAGAAAGCAATTGCAACAAATTAAAATGCATTTAAAATTAAATAGGTGAAGCTCTAAAATGTATCATATAAATACTTCTTATAATTATTTTTGTGTTAATTGTGCAAAAATATATCCATGGAATAAATATATAATCATTCTAATAACAAAGTAGGCATATCTATAGTATAATATATATAATAGCTATTATGAACATGTATTAATATTGCTAATATGCCTTATTCCTTTTTATTCCTTGGTAGGCTGTGGTTCTTTACTCCCTGTGCCAGTGCACTGTGCTCAATCCGCATCTTGCCTGATATCAGGGATGGTAGAGGACTGATCTTTTGGCATGCTGAGTAATTCAGTAGCCCATTCTGTTTCAAACATTCATTCAAGACAAATGCCAGTGTGAGGATCACAACTTGCTCTTCTGGTTTCCTTTTAAGAGATAACATTAAAGAAAATCCAAATCCTTGCTTTAGGTGATGCCCAACACACAAGTTTCTAAATGTTCAACAACAAGCTGCAGTGGTTTCACCTGAAGGCGGCATAGGAACAACAGCAAACACTTTGCTGCCTTCCTGCAAGCTGGGAAGCAGGTTGGTGTTTTCTGTGCCCTACTCAGTGACAGATCCACTTCAGAGCTTCTACCAGGCCTCCTGCAGAGATCAGCACCATCAGAATAGAACATAATCAAAGTCAGTACCGTCTATGCAGAATTTTGATTGACTTTTCCCACATGAGAGAAGTAGCTGTCCATATATTGATATATGGCAACCTTGCTTCAGCTCCAACTTGCAAGCAGCAGTGGGATAAACCAGGCTGCCATCACAATCCAGACCTCCAGGGATTGACATGTCTGTTCTTTCTCTCCCCAGAGCATGCAGTTCCAACTCTCAAACAGCTGCTGGCATCCAAGTTGCAAAGGCAACAGACCTCATCATGGGGAAAGCAGCAATGGCTAGCGTGCTTCTCTTATCCATAACACTGGAACCACAGCTGCCAAGGCAGTACAGGAACCAAGTCAATGGTGACTCACCCAGGCAGAAGAGTGCAAGCTGTGCTCACAGAGACCAAGTGACAAGTGACACACAGTACCAGCATACTGGGGAGGAAGAGGTAGATACCATCTGATCTACTGTCTGCCAGAAGGAAAGCTGGCACACAGGTGGAGAAGCTCTCCTCCAGTCCCTCAGTGAGGAAACCATTCCCAAACGTATCATTCAGCCAGCTCCACTACATGGATCATAGGAGAGAAAGAGAGAAGTTGGCAGGAGATAAGAAGGAAAGGGTGTCAGAAACACCTGATGCAGCTACATCAGGCAGAGGGCTTGTTTGTTTGGGCTGAGGTGTTGGGTGCAGAACAGCCTCACCAGCCTTTGGCACAGGAGCTCCTTCTGCAGCCTTCAGAGATAGACTGGGTGGGCAAACCCCTCTGAGCCATGAGATGACCATAAAAGCTCTTGGGGAGGAGGTGGAGAAGGCATGTGGGCGGGAGTCATGCTTTGATGGCAGGCAGAGGAGTGTGGGTGTGCTGCTTTGTTACGGCAGTGCCACCAACAGCCCATGAGCAGTGGATGGGACGATGGTGAGGTTTCTTGGAGTAATGGTGAGCTGAGATTTCTTGGGGAAAGCTGAAAGGCCCACACCTTCATACCAGCAACCTGAGGTGGAGCGGGCACGGCTCACACAAGTGCCTCAGTAAGGAGTATTGGAACAGGCTGCCCAAGGAGGTGGTAGAGTCACTGTCCCTAAGCAAGAAATGCGTGGATGTGGCACTGAGGGACACTGTTAGCGGGCACGCTGGAGAAGGGCTGAGGGTTGGACTAGACGATCTTAGCAGACTTTTCCAACATTAACGACTTTATGATTCTAAGAGGAGAAAGCCGGGAGAAATAAAGTAAAAGCTGACTGACATATTTATTCTCCCGACCAGCTAAAAAACCGATCGATTAGAGAAAGAAAAAGAAAGGCAAGACAAGACGCGGCCGCCCGCCCCGGCCCTGCACCTGCTCCCCGCAGCCGGGGGCCGCCGTGCGCCTGCGCGCAGGGACCGATGCTCCGCGGCCGCCGCGCCGCGCCCCCCCCGCCTCCTCCCCGCCCGCCTCCGCCTCCGCGCCCTCCTCCCTGCCCGCGGGGCACGGGAGCCGGTGACGGGAGCGAGGCGGAGTCTGGAGGGAAGATACCGAGAGATAGAGATTTAAATCACATCCCCGGCTGTAGAAGGGCAGCAGCAGCAGCAGCCCCGGCGCAGAGGCACGGACGCAAGCACCGAGGTCAGGTCTGCCGGCTCCGCCGCTGCTGCTGCTGCTCGCCATGGGTGCCGCCGCCGCCGAGCCCCCCCGCGCCGCGGGCCTGGTGTCCAGCGTGCTGAACGACACCCTCGAGTTCTACCGCTGGACCTGGAGCATCCGAGGTAACGCGCCAGGCCGTGCCCCGCGCCCGCCGCCCCGCGCCCCCGTCGCCATCGCCGCCCCGCGCCCCCCGCCCGCGGGCGCTGCCGCGCTCAAAATGGCTCCGTTGCCACGGCGACGCGGCGCGGCCGAGGGGTCGGGACAGGCTCCTGCCGGGGTGCCCGGGCGCGTCCTCTCGAGGCGCGTGGGTTCGCGATCCGCTTTAATCCCCCGAGGCACGGGCGGTCTCGGAGCCGCGAGGTGAAGGGCTGCCCGCGGGCCGGGGGTGCCGCTTCTCTGGCCTCGACCCGTGCAGCGGAGCCTCCCCGGGCGGCCGCGTTCTTCTGGGGCCCCTTGGTTCCCTCCGGAGCTCCGGCGGCCCGGGACCTGCGCGGCAGCCGGGAGCCCTCTGACAGCATCCCTCGCGCTTTGCAAATGGTGGAGTTCAGCGATTCGGCGAGGAAATGGCTGTTACCATCGCTGCGGAGCGTTTCACTTGGTATTAAGTGCGTCGGGGGTCGTTCTGCTGAATTCAGTGTGCTCGGTTTTCATACTGACACCCAGCATGGATGATGCTGAAGGAAGAGGAAATGCCTCGAGAGTCAGTATGGGGACAGCAGATGAGGCAGTAAGTCACCTTGCTGACAGGTATCTCCGCAGGTGCCGCTGCGTGTCAATGGCGGCCTCAAGCTGGTCAGTAAAACGAGTGGGGTAGAGTTTCTGTTCATTGCTGCCGTGAGTGGGCCTGCGCAGCTGACAGAACAATAGCACCTCTCTGGATGTTTCCATCATGTTTTAGTTGACTGCACAGTGATGAGCTCTAGACTAGTTAGATGTAAGCCTAGAATCGCATGGAGCGCTCTGGAGCAAATGTTTGTGGCAGGCTGCTAAGGGGAAGTGTGCAGCCTTGGCTTGGGCCGGGAGTTCATACTGCATCAGCAGTCGTTGCTTCTCTGCCCCCCTCTGCTTTGCCATCTGCCAGATAACAAACTGATCTTATGTCATAGGTGCAGGGGCTTGCTTTTTCTCCCAGGCTGCCTTCCCGATCTATCCACTGGGTCTTACCATATTTTACAAATTATTAAACCTATATACATATTCATTTTGTCTTTACTTGCAGCCTGCAAGAATATGAAATCAAATGAAAATGCTTGCAGCAGCTGTAAGTTGTCAGCTGTGCCTGCTCTGCCTCTTGCTGCATAAGTTTTTGTAGGTTCCCAGGTAATGCATTCCAGCCCATCAGTAGCATTTTTGGGTGGATGTAAATACAAATATGGTTACTAAGTTGATATCCTTATATCCTTACTTGCTTTGTTTGGAAGAGAGTTTCAAGTTCTCGTATATTTCCTGAACTTCAAATGCTTTATTTAAATCTGTATACAGACTATGTTTGTTGTAAGGAAAAGAAGGGGAAGTATGAAAAGAAAAGAAAATAAAGTTTGTGTAAGGAAGGTAAAGATAAGTTACTTACATTAGTACTACATGTTGAGCAAACTTTTGTTTCCTCTTTTGCTACTTAAGAGCACCTTTAAGTGGTAGGATGTTCTTGTGATGCTTGTAGAACATGCTCAAGTCCTTGCTAATCCTATGCAAAACTCTAAGATATTACACTAAGATCAATAGTGTTGCTGTTAATGCAAGAATCCTCTATAATGAAGTGCGTTGACTGCATTTGGCATAAGGGACTGAGAGTTTTTGTTCATGTTATGAATTTCATGGTTCCATGCAAGGGCAGTTTTGGACAGAGCCTAAGTCACGTTGTACTCATACTACCACCCTTGTTTATACCCAGCAGTCTGTAAAAACAAGGTCCTGCAGTACTTATGGCCAGGTGTGGATATGTGAAATGTAGCATCATACCATGCAATTACAATGTAGCTCTGGATAAGAAAGTGCCATTATTGCTATCTAATAAAATCATCTTTTAATGTCAAAGTTTGGCTTAAATACTCTCCCAGTTTGCAGCTTTTCTCATGTGTCTTCATTCAGGACAAGATACTGTATCCATTTGTCAATTTTTAGTGAGTGTGTGCTAAGATCATGAATTTGGCACTGTTGTATGAATTCACCTTTGTGTCAAGAATGGCAGTGATGTTGCTCAACAGCCAACACAAATTATGGCATGCAAGACCATTGCCTAACATTCAATATCATTAAATAAAAAACTATACCACGCAGCAAAGTTGCTCAAGAAGTGATGCCATGCAATAGCATTACACAATAAATCATACTGAAACACTACTACACAGCAAAATTACACAATAAAATGTGAAGAAATTTTATTCCCACTACTACTCCTACACAAAGGCTTCTCATTCATATAAAACTAAAATTATTTATTCTCCAATACTTGCTTCCATTTTCTGTTGAATGCCTAGATCTTTTCTCTCTGATCTCAATGCACAACTAGATTGTCCTGCCTGCAGATGTTTTCCTCTGTTATCCCATACTCCTGTGATGGGACTGTATGTAACTGCCAGAATATCCCACTGAGTACTATGTTGCTTCAGTTTTATGCAGTAAAGATTTGGTCCTTTTTCACCTTGCTCTGTGATGTTTAAAAAGCAACCAACCCTTTCTGAGGTCAAAAAGATATCTGATAAATCCTGGTTTGTTTGTTTGTTTGTTTTAGTATGTCACAGATTTTAGCATTAAGCATTCTATCCAAAGCAATTGCTATTGGGCTTGGAGTTTTTTGTTGTTGTTTTGTATTTTGGTTTTGCATTTAATCTTGCATGATTAACAATAGTCTGTCTTTTCCTCCGTATTTATTATTCAAATATATTTTCAGCCTTAGAATTACTTAAATGTGTTTTTACTCTTGCTGATTTATTTGAAATACATATTTTCTTTTTCTCTTCTTCTTTGTCGGTCTTTTTAAACCCCTCTTCATGAAAACCTAAAATCCATTGTTAGTGTATCTTCATCTCAGAAGGCTGAAGGAGATCATTTAGGAAGCCATACATTTTAAAGGGAGGCAGAAAGGGCAAAAACATTATCAACATAACCAAGGGATAAAAAAAGGTTGTTGGGGGAACAATTATTATCAAGAAAGATGATCTAGGAATTTCCATGCCATTATTCCTGTAAGGGCATGGGAGCAGGAATGTGTAATAGATAGGGCAGGGCTTCTTCTTTCTTCTGGCTCAGATAGCTGGTTGGGGTTAGATCTGGGCAGGAAGGATTAAGGGTATGATTAGATGACTGAGCAAATGACTTAAAGGGAGGTTCCAGGTTGAGTCCAGGAGAACTATTAAGATGAATAACTCAGGACAAAATCCAAGAAAGAATGTGGAAATCTCAAAACATGGATGAAGAGACTGTTGACACTTAGGGAGGAGGAGTAGGAGACCGAAAGGAAGTTTGTGAAACCCATTATCAAAAAGAGGTATTTTTGAGGAATGAGTTAAGTTGAATGTGCTGAGCTAAAGAACAGAAGGATTTACAGACTTTGGGTGAGAATTATTGTTCTTGGAGCTCCAAGTTAAAAGAAGGCAGGGCTAGCCCAGGCCATGTGGGACTGCTTTGGAACAGCACTTATTTACAGCTGTTGCAGTTAATAAGATTAGACTTTTTCCATCAAGAGGAAAGAGAGGCAAAAGATGCTGCCCAGAGAACCATCCTACTACTGAAATGGAAGTTTACATCTTATTCAGGAGTGACATCAACTGTATTAGTTGGGCCAGAAGTGTAAGGGCGTGAGGATAGGGAATATAGGGGAAACTTGCAGCTACTTGCATTAACAGTGATCTGGTGGAGCTGCTCTCATGGAACTCCAATTGCTGTAAAATTTTGTGCTGGGAAGGTCTTGAGACTACAGCTTTACCTGAGGAATCTATCCTAGTTTGTTTTTCAGCCCAGGGAAAAGAACTGGAAGAAAGCACATTTCTTCTTCTTCCCTTATTCTTTACCCCATGGAGAAAGTGAAAATGGCCAAATGATCCTGGATATTTATGCCTGGAGAAAGTTCACTGAGGTGGTTGGTAGAACAGTGGATTTATCTGAGTGAAAGCAGTATCTTGTTGTATTGGAGTATTTGTGCCAAAGCTGGAAGCCAGAAGCATCCTGATGAAAGTTCTTCAGAAGCTGAAGGTGGGGGGAGAGATGGAAGAGCGAGGTAAAAATTCTTGCAGTCTGCTTCACAGAAGGGAAACAGAATGTGCTCCTAAGCCTTGGTGATTTGGTAATACTTGATTTGCAGATACAGTTTTCTTCTCAAAGAAACAGTTTTTGATCTGTCACCATAACTGTAAAACAAGGATTAGACATGGGAAGACTTAGACTTCCTTGTAGAACAGGGAAGACCAATGCCAGAAACTAGAGAATGGGGTAAGTGTAATTGGGTTTGGCTGCCTTGGGGCAGAAGCAGCACTTGGGGAAGTTGATTGCAGAAGTAAAGAATGCTAAAGGCTAGAATCCACTGTCAACCAAACAAAGAATAGGAGCATCCCAATTTGTTTCATTTGCATTTCATTAAGCATCCTTCTTAACTGCTTGCCAGTGAAGGAACTTATTTGGTGTAAAAAAAAAAAAACCAAACAAACAGCTATTGTTTTTTTTGGGGGGAAGACAATTTGCTGGGTGTTTGAGGGAAGTTTCACCTATGTTTCATCATCAGAAGATATCAAGTTGCAGAACTCAAAAGAGAACTAATCAGAGCAAAACAGGTGCAAGAACATCTGGAAATGGAACATAATTCAGAAAAGTGCGTTCCTGAAGTGGAAGCTCCCATTCAGAGGTTTTTGATCACCAAGCTTGAAGAAGTGGAGCCTTAGAGAGTAGCCTGAAGCAAACCTAATGATGTGAGCAAGAAGCTGAGGTGTGAGAGGAAGACTCCTCTTTCATAAAATGAAGAAGTGATCAACTGCAATTCTCAGCTCCAGCAGAGAGATGAAACAAGAAAAAAGCCTTCAGAGCACCTGTAAGAATGTGATGCAAAGTTCTCTTTGATTTATGAACTTGCTGCTAAATAAGACAATACTGTTAAAGCAGTTTCCTTGAAAAAGGCTGGAAAACTAAACAG